TTATATTTTGTGATTTCACTAATCCGAAAGCTGACACTAGAAATTATATCGAGGTACAGGACTTAGATGATTTACGAAATGTTGTAGAAACATATTTAGTGGAATTTAACAATATGTCAAAAAAACCAATGCAGTTAGTTCTATTTCGCTTTTCAATTGAGCATCTTGCAAAAATCAGTCGCATAATAAAGCAACCACGAAGTCATGCTTTACTAATAGGAGTTGGTGGATCCGGCAGACAAAGCTTAACAAAACTAGCAGCACACATCTGTGACTATGAACTATTTCAAGTTGAACTTACTCAACAGTATCGTGCAATTGACTGGCAAGACAACATTAAAAATATTTTGCTGAAAATATCATCTACCGACACGCATGGCGTTTTCCTGTTTTCAGATTCTCAAGTAAGTGAAAAAAAAAAAAAATTAAATAATTTTTTCTCTTTTAACTGTCCAGGCTCAACAGCAGATGAAGCAGTTTAGTCCTTCTGTTGACACCCGGTTATCCGGGTTTATCTATTCTAAGCGATGCACCAAATTACGATTAGCAATATGCATTTCATACATTTTATATGCAATTCAACAAGAAAAATTGATTAAAAGCAAATACTCAACAAAAAAATCGTAATAAAAAATAAAAATTTAAATAAAATTAACTATACTGTAAAAAAAACAGGTACATGTGCACCAATAACTAACATCACACTGAAAACTTTAAATTTATCGACAAAAAGCCGTACGTAAATTTGAACGAAAACATTAAATTTAAGGTACAAAAAAGCCCGCACCGTAAATTTAGTTATTCTTTATAAAGAATATCTACTTGATTTTTGTAAATTTTTAAAATGTGGGAGCTTCTTTTAAGTTTTTTAAACTGGAGGTAGTTTCTGTCACACCTCTGGCGCGAATCAATGTTCTAAACGTTATTTTAGGTATAAGAGCGTATACAGGGCGATTCAGTTAAGAGTGCAATATTATATATCAATGTTAAGGGCATTAAAAACGGGTAAAATTTTCGTTTGCTACTAGCTGTCAAAGCTCAACTTAGAACGCCTTCCCAAAAGTCATTCAAACTTTCTGTATTCCTCCTCGAGTTGAGATCTCTTTTTCTTTATGTGCTCCTTCCATCTGAGCTTTGCGTCCAACGTCATTCCCAAATACTTCGGCATGTTTGCGGACGGAATCAAGACGCCATCTGAACCGAAGACGAATTCTCAATTTTCCTATTAGTGAAACTCACGTGTACTGATTTCACCTCGTTAAGTTTAATATTCCACTTTCTAGTCCATTTTGAGATCTCGTTACTTTCCTTTTGTAATTTTTGTGTAGATTCATTTTCATTTCGCCCTATTGCAAAAACTGCTATATCATCAGCAAATGTAGCAAGTATAATATCGGGCCCAATATACTCCCCTGTGGTACCCCCGACCCGATATCCCTAAACGAAGGGTACTCCTCTTCCTCTTTAACTCGAAATACCCTATTAGTCATTTAAGATTCGAGCAGGGTAACAAACTGCCTTGGTAGTAAACGTTTAAGTTTTTTTATTAATCCACAATACCAAACCTTATCTAAGGCGTGGACTACGTCCAAAAATATGATAAAACATACTGTTTTTTCTTCGAATGAATTTTCTATTAGATCAGTTATTCTATGAATCTGATCTGTGGTTGAGTGATTCTGGCGAAAACTAAATTGATGATTCTCTGAAGTCTCCTCAATAATGGCTGAAGTCTCCTCAATAAAAGTTTCTTTAGCAGTTTTGAAATCATCGGCGGCAATGAGATTGATCTATAAGAAGTCGTCCTGTCTACAGGTTACCAGGTTTGTGCAGCATAATCATCTCTGCAACTTTCCAAATGTCAGGCACGTAATTAATCATTATATACGCATTTATTAGGCGCGTAGGCATCGTTATACCCCCTTTGGCTAATTTTTTAAAAATATCACCCGTTATTAGGTCAAATTCCGGGGCATTTTTAGGTTAAAGAGTCCTGATTTCCTCTATAAAATTTCTTTCCTTGACAATTGGAATAGTCACGCTATCCTCAACATCAGAAGATTCCTCATTTTCATACACGCCCTGACTGTCATGCGGACAGAAGCCAAATGGTCCGCAAACACATTTGCCTTGTCTTTGTCAGTTTTTGCCCACATTCCATCTTTGTTTTTAATAGGAGCGAAATGTTTGATAGGTCACTTAATTTTCTTTGTTGATCTCCACAGTGAGTAATAATTAGTTTCCTGTAAAATTTTGAACATAATTGGCAACCGAATCCTCCTTGTATTTTCTAATACAACGTCTTAGTTGCTGCGATTCACGATTATCGGTTTTATGACGATCCGGTTTTATCAGTAGGATCACGAGTTTGCTGCCAAATCTTTCTCGCACGCCTGCTTTGTCTTACTTTTGCTAGTATATGTAGGGGATAGTTAATGCCTCCCCCTCTAATAGCATTAATTTTCGAACTACTTTCGAATTTTAGTACAGTTTTCGGCCTCCTCATCTATGTGCTGGGTCGCTCTTATTCTTTTCCTTAAACCTATTTGTTGTTCAATTTCTAAACGAAATCTTGATCAAGTTCCGTTTGTCAGCGCAGGTTTCGCTCTTCTCATTACAATATTTTCCTTAAGTTCAAGAATAACAACTCCTCAAGTCCTCAAAAGATAAAAAATCTTTTATGATATAGCAGATATAGCATAAAAACTATTTCAATATTAAGATTTTAAGGACCCTAATAAAATGTAAAAAATCAAAAAATTTTCACTAATTTTGATTTTTATTGAATTTAAGCGCTGTAATTATCAACTATTACTAATGCTTGTTCACAATAGTTACTATAAAAAGCAGTTGAAATTTTTATGAACCTTTATATTTGCAAAAAAATAAATTTTTACATTATATCGTAAAAAACCGGAAATGATTTGAGACTACAACCGTGCAAAAGACAGTGTAGATAACTTGTACAAAATGCTGTGTAATTAATATACATGCAAAATGTCGATAGATCGATGACTTTTTCTTTTTTTCAATACATTAAATGTTGCAAGCTTGGCTGCTTATGTAATTCTTTCAGAATCAAATCGTATGAATAAAATAAAAAAAAAAAAAATAGTCACTGTAAATTTCTTCAAAACCTTGCAGAAAAGTTTGCCCTAAGATTATCAAATGTAGCACCAATAGTGAAGTCATTCAAACTCTTATCCCTAGAAATGGAATAACCAGTATGCTGGACTACAAATTGGAAATAATCACACCACAACAATTCATTGCGTTAAATAGTAATGAGGGGGTAAATGGATAGAATGCGTAACATAGTTGATAGTTTCCAGCTATATCAACCCAGGCTCTACTATCTAACGCCTAGTTTTACCTTCACGTGGTACCCCCTGTACGCTGAGTAACCTATACGAAAGGTCAGGTAATCAACCCTGGCGGTGTAGATAGGTCAGCAACAAACAAAACTGGCGGCTTCTGAGAGCGACTTCGACATTTCAATTTAGGGGTCCAGGAGTTAATAATCGGAGCGTCTGACCTAGAATAGGCGGCTCCAAACAGCGTCTGTTCCCTTGTTGGGCGGCTGAGTCAAAAAGAAGAAAACTACCGAAAACCCTTCAGAAGGCAACGGGAAACCACTGAAGTATAATTTCCCGAGAAAAATACAATGTGTGAAACAACAAATGAACGGCCCTCAGTCTCCGGCAAATCGAGGGTGCTAAGAATCCCCGGAGGTAAAACCAAACAACATATAAACATCGCAACATGGAACGTGCAAAGCCTATTTGAAGCTGGTAAATTAGCCAATACAATTAAAGAGATGAAACGTTTAAGCATCAATGTTCTCGGTGTAAGCGAAACATGGTGGCCAGATGTGGGAGAATTTCATTCAGAAGAAACAAAAGTTTATTACTCGGGAAACAAATCGACAAGACACAGGCAAGGTGTAGGAATAATTGTCTCAAAAAATGTAATAAAATCTGTTCAACAATTCATCCCTTTCTCAGATAGGGCGTTCTTACTCAAAATAAATGCTTAACCAATTCCTATAAATATAATTCAGGTCTACGCTCCTACAGCTGACAGCAGCGATAGTGATATCGAAAGTTTCTACAGTGAGATTTCGGAATTATTAAAACTTACCAAGAGACACGAAATGAACATCATCATGGGCGATTTCAATGCAAAAATTGGCACCGGAAAAGTAGAAAATATTGTTGGTCCATTTGCTTTAGGAACCAGAAATGACAGAGGTGAACGTCTTATACAATTCTGTCAAGAAGAAGACTACAAAATAACAAATACCTGGTTCTCTTTACCGCCTAGAAGGTTGTATACGTGGAAATCTCCCCAAGATTTCATTTTAATTAATAGAAGATTTAGTACATCCGTAAAAAGCGTGTCTACTTATCCAGGAGCTGATGTTCCGTCAGACCATAATCTACTTTTGGCTAAGTTCAAAATTAAATTAACCGTAACCAGACCGCAGCAACCGCGGAAAAAACAGCTAGATCTAAATAAACTTCAAAATAGTGAGACAGGAGCACAAACCGCTTTAGAGATAAACGCTCAACTTAGATCTCTCAACGTAGGAAGTACTAACATTGCACTATGGAATCAAACCAAAGAAATTTTAAACAGCACTTCTAAAAGAATACTAGGTTACAAGAATTTCACCCCAAAACAAAAGTGGATGACAGAAGAAATATTTAACTTAATGGAACAAAGGCGAAAATATAGAGGCAAAGATGATGCTACATACAAGCAAATACATCGCTGCATAAGAAGAAAAATAAGACAAGCGAAAAGCGAATGGCTCACTCGAGAGTGCGAAGAACTAGAAAGACTTCAACGCACCCATGATACTTTTGCATTACATAAAAAGATTAAACAAACTGTTCTAGTGAATGAAAATAATAAACTCGTAACTGATCTTAAAGAAAAAGAAACAGTCTGGGAAAAATATATTGAAAACCTCTTCTCAGACGCTACAAGATCGGCGGAAACTTTAATTATTCCGTCATCAGGAATATTATTAACGGGACCACCTATTACTAGAGGTGAAATTCGAAACGCTATTCAGTTGTCAAATAACAGAAAAGCCGTAGGACCTGACGAAATACCAGTAGAAATTTTAAAACTTATTGATGACAACAATCTAGGAGTGCTGGAAAGAATTTTTAATATTATATATGATACCGGGACATTTCCAAAAGATTTCTTACAATCCACATTTATTCCGATACCAAAGAAAAATAGCGCACGTAAATGTGACGAACACAGACTTATAAGTATAATGAGTCATGTTTTAAATATTTTTCTCAAAATCATCCATAGCCGAATATATAAAAAATGTGAAACAAAAATGGGACATGAATAATTCGGTTTCAAAGCCGGCATGGGAACA